TGACAAAAGATACACAATCAGAAGAAGATTGTGTATGAATGTGTCATTCTGGGAGACTTGCATAGACAATGTCTCCCACAATGACGCATAGCACACAATAACAGTGCACTGTTGCACTTTGTTGACAAAAGATACACAATCAGAAGAAGATTGTGTATGAATGTGTCATTCTGGGAGACTTGCATAGACAATGTCTCCCACAATGACGCATAGCACACAATAACAGTGCACTGTTGCACTTTGTTGACAAAAGATACACAATCAGAAGAAGATTGTGTATGAATGTGTCATTCTGGGAGACTTGCATAGACAATGTCTCCCAAATGACGCATAGCACACAATAACAGTGCACTGTTGCACTTTGTTGACAAAAGATACACAATCAGAAGAAGATTGTGTATGAATGTGTCATTCTGGGAGACTTGCATAGACAATGTCTCCCACAATGACGCATAGCACACAATAACAGTGCACTGTTGCACTTTGTTGACAAAAGATACACAATCAGAAGAAGATTGTGTATGAATGTGTCATTCTGGGAGACTTGCATAGACAATGTCTCCCACAATGACGCATAGCACACAATAACAGTGCACTGTTGCACTTTGTTGACAAAAGATACACAATCAGAAGAAGATTGTGTATGAATGTGTCATTCTGGGAGACTTGCATAGACAATGTCTCCCACAATGACGCATAGCACACAATAACAGTGCACTGTTGCACTTTGTTGACAAAAGATACACAATCAGAAGAAGATTGTGTATGAATGTGTCATTCTGGGAGACTTGCATAGACAATGTCTCCCACAATGACGCATAGCACACAATAACAGTGCACTGTTGCACTTTGTTGACAAAAGATACACAATCAGAAGAAGATTGTGTATGAATGTGTCATTCTGGGAGACTTGCATAGACAATGTCTCCCACAATGACGCATAGCACACAATAACAGTGCACTGTTGCACTTTGTTGACAAAAGATACACAATCAGAAGAAGATTGTGTATGAATGTGTCATTCTGGGAGACTTGCATAGACAATGTCTCCCACAATGACGCATAGCACACAATAACAGTGCACTGTTGCACTTTGTTGACAAAAGATACACAATCAGAAGAAGATTGTGTATGAATGTGTCATTCTGGGAGACTTGCATAGACAATGTCTCCCACAATGACGCATAGCACACAATAACAGTGCACTGTTGCACTTTGTTGACAAAAGATACACAATCAGAAGAAGATTGTGTATGAATGTGTCATTCTGGGAGACTTGCATAGACAATGTCTCCCACAATGACGCATAGCACACAATAACAGTGCACTGTTGCACTTTGTTGACAAAAGATACACAATCAGAAGAAGATTGTGTATGAATGTGTCATTCTGGGAGACTTGCATAGACAATGTCTTCCAGAATGAGACAATCTTCCGCAATTAGAATACGATTGCGAAACTTCGACCGACAAGAGTGCATTATGCACTTTTCGTTTTTTAATTTTGTCTCATATTAATTAAATATCTCTTTTCAACACGTTCACTTCTAATACCCGACAATAACCTACCATAAAACCTCTAAAGCCACTTTTTCTTCTCTATTTACTTTTAAATTCTGAGATTCAATTTTTTTTTCTATTTCATTCAGTTTTCTTTTATCAAAATCATATAACCATTCATACTGATTCTTAATTTACGATATTACATTGAGATTTCATCTTTTTTCATATTTCGAATTAAATCAGCTATTTAAACCTAATATCCGGACCTGTCAGTATTCAAATATTATTGGCCACATGTATCTGAGCATTTACACGGATTTTACCCATGTTTTGCAAAAAATGTGTTATGAGATGGGTGTTTGAATATGTTCTTCATATTGAATCTAAGCATTTCTTGGAATTTGGAGTTTTTCTAAAAAGTTTTATCGGTTGAAAAATTAAAAATAAAACAAAAGAATTTTTTCCGATTTTTTAAACGCATCTTAATTTTTAACGGACGAAGGAGTATTTGATCAAAGTTCAATAAGGCTATCACACTATATTATAGTTAGCTTGCAAAGTAAGCAATATAATCTGGAATTTAATAACTTCATAAAGATTTGATAAAACCATTTTTGTGTAAATTAGTATTTAATAGGAAAATATGAAATTAGATTAGTCAAACATATAAATTGTTATTATATGAAATGATAACAATTGATAAAACATACAGATTGGAAGATTAGGTGAATTTTTGTGATGAATAGGTGTGTTTGTATGTAATGCCTCTATAGTATATTCATAATAAAAATTACCCAGATTTTCCTTACTTTTACCACTCCCCATGTAATTTCTGGGGAAAACGATAATTCATTTTTTTTATGGATGAATAGATCGTTTTCCTAGAAAGGACCTCATATCTCTGGCTAAAAAGAGTGTCAGATCCTAAATAGGTTATTGATCTAGTGTACAAATCCAATAAAAAGCCTATTTTTTTGGCTTTTTTGGTGCTCATTTTTTCGAAGATCTACATGAATATGGGGAAACCATCGGATTTTTTTGGTTAACCCACATCTTCATGTAGTCTGGACTATCTTTCCTCGAAGGACCTCTTTACGGGTGTAAAAACTCATAAAGTTCTCAAAAGATTCATTCTCGATCTCCATGCTGAAAGAATTTACAATAAAAAAGAGATCTACGCATCAAACTACAGCCATAAATGAACTGAACCCCTAAAGCTCAGCTCTTAGTTTATCAAAAACGTCGAAACCTTCTCATTGCAATCAAATTTTCTCAATAACTCATAAGAAAAATCGAATTTTGATTAAGCCGATGTTATAGGTATCACAAATACTACAAACTTGAGCAATATCGAAATTGCCAGCAAAAGTTTGAAATTGCATTGCTCATATTTGTTTTGTAAACTAAAAATCTGCTTATATTATTCATTAATTTTTTATATATTATTCATATACTTTAATAAAAACAATACTATTTCACCTTAAAAATGAATTTCATAAGTCAATATTATTTTTTTGAAAATGTATCAATTTTCGATTAAAACAACATGAGAATAAAATTTACGCAAAATTATTTTAAAAAATGGTTTTAAAAATTTACAATTGATGAAGAATAAGATTGCAAGAAGTTTTGAAGTTTAATTTTAAGAAAAAAAATTCGGATATTATTCATGGATCTAAGTAATCTGATATTTGAGTATCGGCACTATGCATAAAACATATATTTATAGTTTTTTTGGATTTTTATGATTTTAAATATATTCAAATTTGGCAATCCAATAGATTTTTAAAAAATAAATAAAAATAGATTACATATGCAGCAGATTTAGAACATGAAACAAATCTTATAGTGACCCAAAAAAAAATTCATGATCCAAAAAAGAAAAAAATTGGCTAAATGGGAATCAAACCTTGGCATAATGAATCATTATGTCGGATGTTTCCACTACACCGGCAGTTCGAAAAATACCCTTGGTGGTTCTATTTAATAGCTACTCCCAACGATAGGCGGTGTCCCCAGCTTTAGAGAGGTGGTAAAAGTAAGGCAAATCTGGGTAGTATACTATAAAAACTTGATTTGAGAAGAAAATTAATGTGGAATAAGAAGATTGTAGAGAAACGTCTCATTCTGTGAGACAGTCACAAATAATATCTCCTTACCATATCAAATCCTTAAATTTTATATATGCTATTTTTTTAATCTTTTAAAAATTTCTCTTTAACTCTCTTCAAAGACTTTCTTTTATGTCAAAAATTTGTTTCACTTTGCCCCAACTCATATACTCTAAAAATAATAACAATAGCCAAATATATAAAATTAATTTTTAATTCATTAAAATTATATTTATTCAAAGTAAATCCTCATATAAACTTCTATGAACCATCCTCATCTGTTAATTCAATCAAGTATTCTAAGAAATTTGGGCAATTTTCTTCGAATAATTGGCTCTCATATGATAAATCTATTAATTCAATTTTGTCATGCATAAAATCATACTTTCCGAATATGCAATAGCATTTTTCAAGAGCCAACAATAAATCAATTTTAAATCTTAGACTGTTATTATTAAATGATTCAAGTAGTCCTAATTAATATACATAACAAGTGTACTGAGGCACTGCGCGCCTCCTTACCCATTATATGTGAATTTGACACTTTACAAAACTGTTAACGTATATTTTACAACACAAACGACAACACCAACTTAACCTTAAATATTTATAAAGCCGCCAACCACTTCATCTCACTAACGTTTTCACAAACGACTTCACTACTGTAAAAAATAAACGTTCTCACTTACAAAAGTATTGCAACTCCTCCCATTGCTGTGCTTCACACAATACTTTATATTCTTCAGTATCGCTGCTGTCGCTCCAATCGTCAGAGTCAAAGTCACTGTCAAAATAAATGTTAGTAAGTTTTGACAAAGCTAATGAAACACGTTTACCGTTTGTATCGTATGCTTGTATAAACTTTCCATTCTTCATTCCTTCATAAACGCTCAAACTAACTTTACCCTTTCTCCCTCGTATCTGATAGAATGTATTTTCACGAGGAACGAAGAACAAATTCTTGAACTCATGACCGTTGTAGTTTGTTATCTCAATAGTTTTCGTCATTTATATAAAAATAAAATAAAAAATAAACTTAAAAATTAATGATATCACCACCCTCACACGTATGAAAACATAGCACAAAAATAAATTTAGGTGAAGAGGTGAGATTTCACCTGTTTTTTTCACCCTGTTGAATTCATTGCTTTATAACTCTCTTCCTTGGTTTCTTTTTAGTTGCTTTCTTTACGTCCGTCTCCAACTTGACTGTCTTTCTTCTTCGTCCATAATGATACCAGTTACTTCCACCAGTCAATGGGTCAAATGGTCGTTCATAAGGGTTTCCATACATTCCATAGGGACCATACGGAAGAACTACTGGTGGAGAAGAAACATTTTCTTTAGTTCCATCGACTCTATTTAAATGCATTGTTTCACCTTTCATCTAGTCATTAAAGTCTTTTGCGTGTTTTGCAAACTCATCGTCCTTTCCTAAAGCATTTTCTGACTCAGTCGCAACCAAATTGGATGCTTTATTTATGAGCCCTATTTTATTTAATCTTAACTTCTTTGCAACCCAGCCTCCAATCTTCCCTTTATTTGCATCTAATGTCTTCGAAAACCTTCCTCCACTCATTTTATTTACTGCGTCATAAGCTCCAAGTGCTTTTGCTCCAAATGCTAATGCTTTTGTTCCCATTGCGCCTAAAGCTGCCCAAGCTACCATTTACCCCATATTAAAATCATCTCTCTTCAATATTATCTCATAAAAGTTCTCGTTACTGGAGAAAGTCAATGAAACATAAGCGTTCTCACCGCTTTGCGGTCTATCTAACTTATTTCTTATATCATCTATACGCTTCAAAATGTCTGAACAATTGCTAACATCTTCTACAACAGTTATTTCATCATGAATGACCTTCAAGAACAAGCTCATTTAATATGCTATTAAAATCATCTCAATAATGAGTCCATCCTTTCCGTCTTTTGGTAGCACAACATCTTTCATTGAAGAAGGTTCGACAAGTCTTATGTTAAACTTACTGACAAAGTTTGTTATACTATAATGCTTCGGCGGCGAATACATGTAGTTTGAAAGACATAATATAGATTCTTCAGCAAATTCACTTATACTGGATTTTATAACAATGTTCTCACGAGACCAAATACCACCAATTGACAATCTTGTAAGCAATCCTGCTGAACCTTCTACTGTAAACGTCGATGGTAACATTCCACGAAGGTCATCTATTGACATCGTTGAGTCACTGAATTTAAAGATTTTCTTAAAGCAATCGTCATTATCTAACCATGCAATAGCTTTGAAGTTTTCATTCGAATATACATCTGCTTCATTAAATGTAAAACCTGACTTCTTTGCAGAGATGACTTTAAAATCTATTGAGTTTGTTTCAAAATTATATGCTATGGTAACTTCTGAAGGTAATGGATGCCCTTCCGCAGTCAGTTGTTCTCTCACTACCGTTTGAAGCTTTGTATTAAAAACTTTCATGTCATCTCCTGTATCTAAGTTCACATACACAGCAACAGGGAAACTATCTTGCTTCTTTGTTTCATCATTATATCTCAAAACATTAAAGTTCTTCAATAATATTGTTCTTCCTGCTGGAATACTTCGAACCTGTCTGATTTCAATAGCTTTCTCACCTCCTACATACTCTACCCAGTGTCTTGGATATTCATAAGTATACTGACTTTCTTGAATTTTGGTTGGTTTCATCATAACATGTTCATAGTATATCTTTATACTCTTGTCAGTTAGACTCGGTGCTATGTTCTGAATATTTCTGACTTGCATTTTTAATGGAGATAAAATGAAGCATTTAATACATGATGTACATGAAGACATGAATGAAAGCAGTGAAAAGCTCAACAGTTCTCTCATTCTTCCTTTCAGTAAGGACTATGAGTTCTGTTCAAATGGTGTGTATTTCTATTGTGGAAAGATGGGTTCAGGTAAGACATTTAACCTCATTCGTCATATACTCATAACAGAGCGTTTAGGAAACGACTCTTACTATGACCAAATCATTATATCAGCAACTTCAGACTCTATGGACTCAACAGCGAAAACATTTATGTCAAAAGTTCAAGCCTCTGTCGTTAAAGTTCCAGACAGTGAACTCATTGAATTTCTTCAACGTTACATTCGACGTAAGAGGAAATATTATGCTATCGTTGAATTTATACAGTCAGGAATGCAAAAGACTTCTGAAGAGATGGAAAGAATTATTGACAAACACCACTTACGTCAATACTCAGGAGTTTACGATATGAAACGACTTACAAACTACATTCTGTCAAAACTTTCAAAATACCCCTTCAAAAAATATCCTTCAAACACTCTGCTCGTTTGCGACGACTTCGCCGGAAAAGGTTTAGTGTCAAAACCAGACTCACCATTAGCTAACATCATTACTAAAGTCAGACATTACCACTTAACTGTAGCAATACTTATGCAAACATGGAGGTTTTTAGCTTTAAACATAAAACGTCTCATAACTGACTTCGTTATCTTTCAAGGTTTCTCACGTTATGATATTGAACTCATTTGGAAACAGTCAGGTATAACATTACCTTTTGAAGAAATTTGGGAAGCATATAAGTCTCTCATCTCTCCTCGTTCATACCTTGAGATTCATATCATGACTAATACCATTAAAGTCAAAATATTCCATGGGAACGACCAACATTGTTTTAAAGTTTAACCTTCAATTGACTGATGGTAAACAAATTCCATGCATCTCTGTCGCCATTTCTGTTAATATTTTTGCTGTCATTCATATCATCCACTTCCCCATCCGTTAACTTTTGAGGATATGTGTTAGAATAGCTGTTCTTAAATGAAGGCTTTTCACCTTTGAGAGCATAAACTCTATAACTTTCTGCATACTTTATGTTTGAACCTCCTGAGCCATCATTGACATAAATTTTTATAGGCTTCCACCCTTTGTTCATGTTCCTGCTTCTTCCCTTTGCTCTTTTGTTCAGTAGTTCTACATCTTTATACACAGCTCCTGTCTCAGTGAATTCAACAATATTTTCATTCGTTAGCTTTGCATTCAAACCCTTGTCGAGTATATTGTTCATTTCATACATATAAAAGGTTTTTATTCTATATGAAATGAGAAGCAAATCCATCTTAGCTGGTGCCATTAATGTTCCAATTGAACCAACATCAAATGTTGACTCACGAACGACAAACAATATTGTCATAAAGAACTATAGTTCAGAGTGTTTGAAAGAAAAAGAACCAGAACTTAAGTCGGGACCTTCGGTCTTGGAGCATGGCGCCGTGAATTTAAACTCAGCTTCAAACGCTAACGCTACATCAGATGTTAAGTTAGAGTATCCACCACTGGACCAAATTCTTTCAAGAAAAGCCAACGACAACCCTTACACAAATGTTCAAACAAATCCTTCAGATAACGTAGACAATTACCTTCTTCAGTTATACCAAACAATTTTACTCAAAGACGATAAGAAGCTTTTGACAAATCTTATAAGCAAGAACCAAATAATTCTAACAAAGGAGGACCTTGAAAATGTTATATCACGAATAACAGGGAAACAATGTGTCATTGACTATCTCGACCCTGAAATCGAATGCTGTGGTCAAACTCCACTATTCATGAAAATAGGTAACATCCGCATCATTGAAACACCAGGAACTACAGGAGTTGAGTTTTAAGTATAAATATTCGAATGAATATACAAAACTTTCAACAGAATATAAACTTTTGCTTGAAATATGTTTTAGTAAATTAAAGCAATTTGTAATATCTATCCAAAACTTCTTCAACAGTATCGAACTCATCTTCATAATGCAAACCTAATCTTATTGACTTGGTGCAGTTTTCACTAACACAATATTTTTCTGTTCTCTTGACTGACATAACTAACTCATTTGTTTTCATCAAACAGCAACAACCAAAGTTCATGACCTAATACATAACATTCATACTTTATATTTTTTAGCTCTGAGGTTCTCTTGTAAGCTGTTGCATTTAATATTTTCTAAAAAGTCAACTTCAACAGTCATTCGCACTGGTGCCTTCAGTTCTACAGGCTCTCCTTGAAAGTTCAACAAGTCTGAATTGCATGTCTTTCAAATTATGAGGACTAATGCGAACCCATTTACCTAAATGAGTTGCTATGACAGGAACGTTTGGAATGAACATTGAATTTACTTCATAACAGAAAGACTTATATTCTACTGAACCTTTACTATTAACTCCTGAAATACCTGTGACATTAGCTATTTTTTGACTCAATGTACAAACAATTGCCATAACATACATATGGAAAGATTTCATCTCAATCGTTTTGTTGTCAACACTTTTCAAAGGAAATGTCATATGGTATGCTCCCAGAAGCAATTGAACTCTATGACTCATTCGTGTTATCTTAAACTCCTTCGCATAACTGAACTTCAAAACTCCTGTAATAAGTTTTAACATTCATTAAGTTTCTTCGTTATCCTTGTTTATTGTTAGTATAGGGTGTCCAAAGTGTGTTTAGCAAAACCTGAATACTGCGAATAGAAATAAAACAAGTTTACATATATATAAAGTTTATTTAAATATAATCACCATTGGATTCAATCACGCGTTCGCAGCGATCGATCCAGGCTTGAAAGACACGCTTTTTAAATCATCATGAGAAATTGCTCAAATTGCTTCTCTTACAAAATTTTCAAGATCATCTGGACTCGCGAATTCGCGTCCTTCAGCTCTCTTTTTTAGCGTGCCGAATAAATAAAAGTCAGAGGGTGCAATATCAGGTGAATAAATTGGGTTTGGAACAACTTTGACATTGTTTTCCACCAAGTAATTCATTACCTTATGACTTTTGTGAACTCTTGAATTATCAAAATGAATTGCAAACTTTTGTTTTTGTTGTTTGGATTTCTCAAACTCATCAGAATTGATAATTTGAGTAAGAACATTGTCAATTAGATACTGAGCATTCATCGTATTAGGTTTTTGAAGAATATCAATTGCGATGATGCCATTCACGCCCAAAAAACCGACAACATCATCATTGGTGTGTCAATTTTTTTCTTCGGGAATGTTTGCGGATTTTCATCCTTCGGGATCCACATGATTTTGGCTTCTGTTGCATATTGAAACCAAGACTCGTCCCCTGTTACTAAAAAGCGAAACTTCTTGGATTGATACGCACCCAATATAGAGAGGAGCTCTTTCGAAGATTGGACTCTAGATTTTTTTTGAACTGAATTAAGGTTGTGCGGAACCCAACGTGTATACGCTAGTTTGTAGTTCAAATAATTGTGCAGATAATAACTGACTGATGTACGTGGTATCTTTGTCATCTCCTCTATCCTTCTGAGTGATGCTCTTGGGTCTTCATCTAGCGCTTGAAGAATTGCTTTGATTTTTCTTTGATCCGGCGATTTTTTGTCAATTTTTATGATGGGCGCCTTTTTGTTCATGAAGTGATACATCCTAACATGATACGTTACAGTGGAATAGCTAGGAGCATCCATACCGAAGCATTTTACCAATGTCTCGTAGATTTTTTTACAGTCTTTGCATTTTTTTGCAAGAGCGAGGATGTTTTCTTTATGATTCATTAAAAAAATGAAAAAAATCCCGCCAAAATTTCCCGCGAAACCGCCTCTTGTCTCAAAATTCATTTTATATTCCGGCATGGCGCCAAAATACAACATACTCATCATATACATATATTCATATTTTTTATTATATATTTATAATCAGCATATATCTCCTTTAATAGTCTCATATAGAGCGCTGTGCTAAACACACCTTTGGACACCCTATATTTATGAGAGCATTTAACACTCCAGCTAATGTTTCCATCTTATATTCTACATTATTGTGAAATCTTATTTCGTGCTTCTTTCCATCTATTTCAATCTCCATGAAATCTGTTTCATCTGTTATAACGAATGAAGCGATAGTATTGAAGTCAACCATTCTGAATGCAAGCGCCTCATTCTGTAGACCTAAGTTTGTTTGTAGCTTTACTGTCCCGTATTCGTTTGGGTCTGTACTTTGCAAATAGAACAACATTTTATTCTCATTAAAATATGAGTATAGCTGCATATGCGTATGAAGCTGACAGAGCTAAACGTTTATATTTTGGTCAATACTCTCTCACACTTACTGACAAATATATTGTTATCACTGATGGAAATACTGAGAAATAAATAACATGGAAGGACTATGAAAAGTTTGACCCTATTTTAACTCCATGTACTATGCCGTTTATAAAGGACGGTGAAATTATTGAAAAAGATAATACAACCATATATAGGTCTGTTTATGAAGCATTAGAATATATGTTGAATCATAATCCCGAAAGATTTGATCCAAGCACTACGTCATGTACTATGCCGTTTATAAAGGACGGTGAAATCGTAAGAGTTCCGGATTCAACGGTTTATACAGCTGTTCAAAACAGTTTACAAAACATTTTAGCGAATATCTTTAATTCAGAAACTACAGAAATAAAATTACCGTATATAACAGATGCTAAAGAAATTAAATCAAAAACGACAACATTATTTACGTCACTTAATGATTTAATGACTTATATCATTAATATTCCTGCACCAACTACAGCATTTGATCCAAACTCGACGGTTTGCAGTGTACCTTTCATAAATGACAGTTCATTAATTACTTTAAGGGATTCGACAGTAAATGAATCATTAAAGGCTTCATTAATGAAAATCATTGATTTTAACTCATTCACGAATACATATAATTCATTCATTAATGTTTCATATGCTTCTAAAGAAGGTGAGCCAAAAACTATCGATAAAGCGGTGTATGAAATAAAAGCATTAACGACGAAATTGAATTCGTTAACTTTTGACGGTGATAGTTTCGTTAATGACATAACATCGGGAAAACGATTTTAACGAAAGAATACTTAAAATCTCATGTTAGTGAGTTCGTTGAAATTGAAAAAGAAGGTGGAATTAAGTTCGATCCACTGAATTTCATTTTCAGCTTAGCGAATGCAGGTATTAATTTTGCCGAATGGACAACAATACAGAGTGAAATAAACGCAATATGGACGTTTTTGGGGTCAAAAGCGGGGATGAGTGAGCTTGTAAATGCTGCAAGAACATTAGGTGAAACAGGAAATTTTGTCGATGGTTTTAAAAGACTTGTTTCAAACGTTTTGACAAAGACAAAGAAATTATTTAGATATACCGTACATAACGGACGGATTTTCGAACAGATAGCAACAAACCCTCCGGTTATGGCTGCGTTGATGATGGTTAGAGATATAAAACCACGTAACGACGGGAACGAAGAACATGAACAACAGGATACTGGTCGGGTTATTCGAGACATTAAAAACGTGTATCCTGAAGTTATTGATTTATTTAGAGGAGTTAATGATTCAATTTCAAAACATTCTATAACCCTCGATGAAGAGAATAAATTAACAGATTATATATTCGTCATTATTGCAGAATTAATGAAGAGAATAAATGAAAAAGGAATTGGTGATATCATTAATGTCAGCGATGTAATGATGAAAAGAAATTTTGACTCATTATTTACAAAACCGAAAACAGAATATAGTCTTTATGACGTAATTACCGAATTAATGAAAAAGATTAATGATAATAAGAGTTCTGGCGGAAGTGTTGAATTAGAAGTGAATGATGTTAATGAGAAATTAGCCGAAAAAGCAGACAAAAATGAGCTTTTAGCTCTGAGTGATAAAGTCAAGAACCACGTTCATTATATAACTTCAGACGAACAGATTATAACGGACTACCATGGATATTTAACACGAAGTGATGAAGTGAAGACGGAAGACCCTAATGAAAGAAGATATAAATACATTCGTGCTAAAGGTTATGACATAAGCTGTACTGTACATTATGACACGGGTAAAGCGCTAGAAGCATTTAGTTATAACGATGAAATTTATGCCTCTACTTTCTCTGTTAAAGGTGTATTAGTTGAACCAAAATTTACGTTGAGAGTTAAGTCAAAAATAACGTTTGAAGATGCTATTAAAAGTAAAGCTGACAAAGTTGAACTCGAAGCAATGAACAAAGTTTTGAAATCTCATAAACACAACATCTCCGATATAAATGAACTTCAAGCTACATTAGACAGCAAAGCCGACAAGAACCATACAAACAAATCCTTCACTACTATTAGAGCAGACGATGTAATATTGAACTATACTCTCGGTTCAAGCGCACCTTCAGAGAATCCGAGTGCAAGTGTAAAGGATACACTTAACAATTTAGATAACTATTGCAGGAACATTGATCAATATGCCAGAAACTTTGAAGCATACAAACTACCAACAATGTTAGACAGTAAAGCCGACAAGAACCATACACATGAAGAATTTCAAACAATCAAGATTAAAGAAATTAAGGCATGCATCGAAATAGTAACAAAAACAGGAAGAAACGGTGCAACTGTACAAGAACAAAGAATTTATCCTCCTACTTTTCCTAATGGTTTAATAACAAACAATATAAATATTGAAGATGGCAATAAAGTTATAAACGTTAAACATGAACTTCTAACAATGAAGGCCCAGATTCTTCAAACCATATATCCTGTTGGTTCTATTTATACGTCAATGAACTCAACAAATCCCGCAACAGTTCTGGGTTTTGGTACGTGGAAGCAGATTGTAGATAAATTCTTATACTGTGCTAGATATTCAAAGCAAACAGGAGGTTCGAAGAAAATTAAAGAAGCAAACCTTCCACCGCACACTCATACAGGAACGACAAACTTTTCTGGCGACCATAGCCGCTCATTAAAAGACCACCCATTATACAACTCAGAGTATGAAGCTGGCAATGACGTTTTATCTCCATCTTATAACAATTCAGCAAAAAAGACTTTTCGACCAACTGAACCAGGAGGAAATCATGTCCATACTTTCACAACAAATCCAACAGGCTCGGGTGCAGATTATATGCCACCATTTGTGACTGTATTCGCATGGTACCGCGTTCAATGAACGCGCTTGAGTCTAGACTAAAATCTTTAACTTTACATAAATGAGCTTGAAAGAAGTATTCGAACAACATCCATGGAGGTCATTTAAGAAGTTCAATGAAGCTGCAAAGAGTTGGGGATTTACTAACAGAGCTGAAGTGAAAAGGTTCTTTGACAAAAATATTGTACATCAAACAAAAATAAACCCTTACGACTACTTTTTACCAATTTACTCCAACGCTCCTGACGCATACCAATTTGACACTCTCATTCAAAGCAGAAAAGGAGGACATAAACCATTCCTCATCTTCATTAATGTTAACACTCGCAAAGCATATGCATATCCAATGAAAAATAAAGGAACTCATGAAGTTTTAAGAGTTTTGCAGACGTTCGTGGCAGAACATCATCCCACTTCATTAACATCAGACCAAGACGGTGCATACCTCAGTAATGAAATCACAGAATTTCTCATTAAGCATAACATAACTCACTACACTACTGAAGACCATAACCATAACATACTCGGTATCATAAACCGCTTCATAAGAACGCTCAGAGATTTAAACCAAGAGCGAGACTTTACCGAAGAAACAATGAAACACTTTCTCGAAGTATATAATTCCTCAACACATTCTACAACAGGACATACACCAAATTCAATGACACAACAACAAGAAGAAAAGTATATACAAAAGAAACGAAGTCAAACACAAAATATCAGAAATTCAACACAATTTACCCTCATTCCTGGTACAAAAGTTCGTGTAGTTCTTGACGACAAACCGTTGACAAAGAAACGTTTAAGGTTAAGTAGAAACTATTATATCGTAGACTCTACGCAAGGTAATGGATATCTTATAAAAACTGCTGACGACTCTATTGCGTTTTATCCTCGTCATAAATTAGTTGAAAGTAGTAATGGCAAACTTGCTGAAACCATTGACGAAGCAAAGCGAGGAGTGGTTATTGAAATACTTGGCTATAACATAAACGATGACACTTATAAAGTAAGATATGAAGGAGGCGTTGAAGATGTTATACCATCTAAGAACTTGAGAGAGTCGAAGCCAACACATCTGGGACCATTAGAGCGGGAGTACTGGAAAGACAAAAATAAGTCAGAAAGAATAAGAAAATTCTTCTAAACTTTTTCATTAGATGTAAATCAGACATGAATGAGAACAGTCATGATATCATTAATGGTACCATTTATTTACACCAAAAATAATGTTTAGGTGAAGAGGTGAGATCTCACCCGTTTTCTCACCTCTTTTCTCACCTCATTGAATTTTCATGAATTTTATATATTAATGTTTTCATAAATGTTTTCAGTGTCACCACGTCACCATGTCACCAGGTTAATTAACTTCTCTTAAAAATGATGACAACATGACATTTAGACAACAGTCCAGGAAATTTGATGCAGTCCAAAAATAAAGTTAGTTTTATTTTTATTTATTTTTTTATTTTGTATAAAAGATATGATTTCAACAATCGGCACAACAACAATTCAAGCTGCGAACGGCACAACAACAGCACCAAACTCGTTAGTCATGAATCCTACGTCAATGTTAGTAGAGATGAAAAACTTCATTCCTTCTTCATATACTTTCGAAACAGAAATCCAGAAGATAAAGCAAGAACTGTTAACAAGTAATTTAGACTGTAGTGCGAAAGATGAAAAAAATGAACAGTATCTTTATGACATGCAGGACATTATTGACCATTTACCCAAATTGCCTGAAATCCAACAACAAAAGCTCACTATTCATGAATTCGATGAAATAGAAGTGAAACCAACTGACTCAGTAGAAATAAAGAAGTTCATACGAAAGGTAAACTATGAATTCCTTGGTTTTCATTGCAACCATAAAGTTATGGACAAAGATTGCGACATGGTTTATAAGAACATCTCTGACATATATAAATCCGAAGAATTTAAGACATACGATAACTTTGTTACATTAGTTGCAAGATGTGTGTGGCAGATAAGAGATGAAGATAGAAGAGGCAACGTATGGAACGAACAAATAAGACCCGCAGCCTTTGAGTTAAAGAAAACCATTGACGCTTTAGTTGTTTTAGCTGGTAATGTTTCAATGTATAACGCAAAAACGATGCCGCAATGTTCAAAATGTAAAGCAGCAATGAGGAAATATAACTACTCAGTCAAAGAAATAGAAAGAATGCGAAACGACTATGCAGACTTAAAGAAAGAAGCAGAAGATAAAACGGACATGTTGACATTTCTTAATAAAAACTATCCCATAGCCGATGATTTCCTTCTGTCTGACGTCAAGAAGAAGTATAAAGAAACTTTCGGCATGATTAAAACATTCGATGTACTAAAAGAAGAAATAGAAGCTACGAAATTGTTTAGGATTTCAAATATACATCGTACAATTCATGTAAAACGCTTGTGAAAAAAGAGGTGAAAAAACAGGTGAAAAAACAGGTGAAATCTCACCTCTTCACCTAAATTATATTTTTTTATCTCATATGTAAAGACAGTAATGTCAAACATTGAGTTTGAAACAGTTAGAAAGATTGACAATGACACCAAAGTGGTTAGAATTGGTGATTTAAACGTAAGATACTGTAAGAAATACAACAAATATTCTTTGTCAGACATTATAACACCATCTGGAAAGAAAACAAAGGACTGGGTTAGAATTGCTTCTACTCAGAAAATTTTGACAAGAAATCCTGAGCTTATGATATCGGTAAGATTCTATGGAACCACAGCATATCTCATCGACAAAAGTCTTATACCAATAATTCTTCTGTGGATTGACCCTGTTGTTGGATATAACTTCATAACTTATGGTTCATTCGATACGGAACGTTGCAGTGAAGGCTTACTTTACATCGTTCAGAAACCGAAGGACTTCAATACAAAGAGATATAAGATAGGAAGAACATATAATATAACTCAAAGATATGACAGTACAGTCAATAGAGTCAAGGTTGTGTTCGTTAATGATATGAGAGCTGCAGAAACAGAACTACTTGAAAAGTTTGAGAAAATGTATGGTGCTCCCATGAAAGGTAAAGAAACGTTTGAAGTAGATGAGATAGATAAAGCTATAAAATTATTTGACGAAGTTGCTGAAAAATACATGTAAAGCGTTTATTTTTGGTCTTTTGTGAAAGTCAGAAAATAACGCTAATTTTTTCCTAACAAAAATTTTTATCTCGTATGTAAAGACAGTAATGTCAACATCAGAGAACACAACAACTGCTATCGTTCATGAAGCCATCAATGAAAAATACGAGTACATACAGTATAACAAACAGTTACGTCTCATTCGTTCAGTCAAAGATGACATGTACCAAATGCAAAGTATTTTGACAGCATGTTTTGCTCCAGAGAATAAAACACCAAATGAATGGTTTGAATTAAATAGCACTCATGAACTCCTCAGTGAGTTTGAACATGTAGAACTTAAAAAGATGTACCAAGACAGACAAAACTTACCATCACATCTAAAAGGTATATATGTTCATAAGTTCCTAGTTAGTTCAATAGCAATGTGGGTTTGGCCCCGTTATGCAATCTACATACTTATGCTACTTGACGAACTTTGTACAAAGCAGAGAGAAGATATGATGAAAGAAGACAAAAGCATACAGAAAAGAATACCACGTTCGGTACCAAAAGGAAAGGAGAAGAGCTATAAGTATATGATTTACACTGAAGAGTTGGAGAAAGAAGAAGATAAAGATATGGTTATGTTACATTTAGTCAGAAGAAACAACAAGAGCTTTTATGACCTCGCTAAAATATATAAATCTGACAGAAACTGGTTCTATCGTGAAAACTTACCGATTTCAATGACACCGAATGAGCAAATAAAGGAAATTGTCAAAAATACTCTTCCTCAAACACACTATGACATCAAAGGTTGCACAATACTTACATTCAAAGAAGACTTAACATTACTGAAGGAAAAAATAACAGAATATTTCGACAACTTCAAAGAGGAAGAATGAATTAACGATAACATTGACGAACAGAGAATGTTCTGATCGTCAATTATGTTCGACATTGTAAGCATTAACGATAACATTGACGATGAATTAACGATGAAGTCATGATATCATTGACGAACAGAGAATGTTCTGATCGTCAATTATGTTCGACATTGTAAGCATTAACGATAACATTGACGATGAATTAACGATGAAGTCATGATATCATTGACGAACAGAGAATGTTCTGATCGTCAATTATGTTCGACATTGTAAGCATTAACGATGAAATCATGAAAATTCAACGAGGTGAGAAAAGAGGTGAGAAAACGGGTTAGATCCCACCTTCTACCCTAAAAATATTTTTTGGGTCATTAACGAAGAAGTCATGAATCATTAACGATGAAATCATGATAACATTGACGATAAAATAATTTTTCTTATAAAGATTCAGGGTCTATTTCTTCAACCATTTCACTTCCTTCGTCAATGTCAATAGAAGCTTCTTCAACCTTTGGTAAGAATTTCTGTATAACATCTTTGTTCGTTATTGTCTTCAGAGATGAAGGATAATATTTCACAGATGTTTCACCCTTCTTATATTCTTTCTGTTCGGAAAGATTCATAGCAATACTGAAGAAGTCAATGTTAGAGTTCTTTATGACAGTATAATGAGTATCTTTGACATTCACGAAGAAACTCTTTTGTTTCAAAACTACTGCTAACTCTTGTGAAGTATAACGTTTGCGGTCAATGACGATAGCTAATGGTCTGACATACTGACCAAACTTAGATTCTTTCACAAACTTCTTGTTAAAGATAACATTAACATTTGAAGCATTATTGAACTCATTCTTGATGGCAGTAGCGAGAGCATTGTATGAAAAGAACTTGCAATCTTGCATGTGTTTCATTAAAATAAAAATATTAAATTATTTTGAAAAATAACTTAAAAAATCTAATCTAATTTTTTCAAAAAATATTTTTTATTTCCTACTAAAGATGTATCGGAAGTTGTCTAAGTTAGAACACTCGGAAATAAAACAACTTCTTACAGAAGCTAATATAGATGTTGCAAAGCATTACGCAACAAACAAAAAAGCACTCGCTGACATCCTCAATGACTATAATGGTGCAATAAGTTATGATAGAATTCATGAGTTCATAAAGCCGCAACGCGGCGAGGACGAAGTCCATGCAAGAGCATTTCCTTTAAATGACGTTGCTATTGACTATATCATAGACGTTCAGTACCTCATGAAGTAAGAAGAGAAATGTTTGACATAACAAATGCAAACGTTGGTGAAACAAGAAGAAGAGACGACACACTGAAACAACAGAGAAGAGAGATGTTTAAAAGTGCTATAGAACAAGTTCGCAAAGCTAACGATGTCCTTCGTTCCATTGACGACAAACCAAAAGAAGGTGAGAGATGGTTAAAGAAAGATGAAGAGAATAGGAAGAGGAATGTTAAGACAGGCAATAGACTCATTGACTTTAACATCGAAGCTTTAGATGAACCGAACAGAGACTACTTACACAAACATTTCGGTAAGTTTTTCATGAGACTCTTAGAGAAGATTAAAATAAACTCCCAACAAAGATGGATGGTATGTTATAAACTTGGTGGAAAGTATGAATGTTCTACGTTAAACCTCAATAATATTGGAACATTACTACATCAGCTCTTGAAGGAGAACTTTATATCAGAGATAGAAGCAAATGCTGCAGGTATTGTTGAAATGCACTATGACTTCTTCTTGACAAACATAAAGAATCTTACTGAAATAAAGATGTATGATTTAACAGAATATGAAGGCTTAACGATGTCAGATGTAAAGAAAGGAAAGCCAAAAAAGAGACCATATAGAGATGAAAGCACACTGACAAATGACCTGAAAGCCATTTTGGAAGCTCTTAAGCAAACAGGAAACCCAGCACTTATAGAAAGCTTTTGGAAAGATAATGGTGAAAAGAAGTTTTATAAGAAGAGAAGCGGTCAGTTCTGGAAGTATCTTTGCACATTACCTATAAATCTTGAACGCTACCAAATCTTCAATGAACTGAACAAAAGAACTGCAACACTTATGACAGAAGATAACTGCTTCGTTTATGCTTGCATTCAGGCTGGAGTAAATGAAGAAACTATTGACCGAGATATAAAAATTGCTCACATTTGCTCACATTTTGGCACTTTTTTGTACGTTTGTCAAAAAATTGTGAGGAAGATCTCACAAAAATAGTCAAAATGTGAGCAAATTTTGAGAAGTGCTCACATTTTGACATACAATTATTTTCATACGTTTTTTTGATGAATTCTAATAAAACTTCATTACCACTTTCAGAACGAAGCGTAACTTTTCAGCACGTAACGCTCTATCATGTGTAGTGACATATTATTCAAAAAAACTCAGATTGCTTATCTTATAATAACAATTTCATTAGAAAAAATGCACGATTTCACGCTAAAACTTTGAAGCAATTCTTAAATTCGGATAAAAAATCGATATGTATTACACTTTAAACTTCAAAAAATGGTTCAAAATTTAAACTTAGTTTATCTTAACAATATAGCAGATTTTAAGCCGAACAAGTAGGAGTAATAGAAATAGCTCTTGAAAATAATTACAATTAGTAATATGTAAGTCAAAGTTCGAGTATTCTAATAAATAAACGTTCTGGATTTTCTTTACTACAAGAATCAATACTTAATATATAGAAGCAACAGTAAAAACTTATTAGAGATTCAAAAAGAAAGTTGACTAAAGAGAATCTTTTTATATAAGTAATTTTATTTTTTTGAAATACGAGATCGAATAAACATGTATTTTATTTTATTACTATAATAATACGTTTTTACATAGTAAGAAAGTTTAGAGACTGAAATGAAATTAAAAATTGAGAAAAAAATAAAGCTTTTCTATAAAAATTCATATTAATATATAGTATAATGATATTACAATTTATTGATAGTTGTGTTAGAAAAAAGGTACATTCACTATTTTTGACAAAATTTTAAATTTTCATGGGGTTGTAAATCTTATAATAACTAGATGAATAAGGAATAAATCCCAGTATGATGTGCATCATTATATTAAACACTATATGTAAGGCTGGTGATTCTATTAACACTTATGAAGATCTATAGTATTTGAGCAGATAAATTTGATAATTTCCAAAACTCTTATATTTCAAAATTAAAGTGTGCGAATGCATTTAAATGAGAGCAAAAAGAGATTGATGCTGTTAAAACTATGTGTTAATTTGCAATTATTTCGCATCACAAGAACTACCCAGTAAATTCGGCTATCTTTCTTTGCAATTATTCTCCATTATACATATAATATAATGGTTAGGGTTTGAAGAAAAGTTACTAGAGAATTATTGACTTTTGAAATAATGCAGAATTTTACTTGAAGAAATCATTAATTTATGAGTTCCAAATTGCTAAGCATGACGAAGGATCATTAAATTTGCTACAATTAAATACACTTATTGCAGAATTAAGATTTTTGAAATTAAAAGTTTGAAATATTGCCTTTTTGAATAAAAATTTAAATTTTATTATATAATCATGATAATATCTTATAGAAATTAAAAGAAAATATTTTAAACCATTCAAATATTTTGAATGTCTTATCAATTTAAAATATTAAAAGATAGCTTGATTTTATCATCATTAGTTGTTATCAAAGTTTTCTTCTTTTGATGAACAACAGTAAATGATTTGTTAATTACTTGTCTTCCTTTTTCGCAGCAAAATCGAAAGTTATGATGATAATCTTGCTCTCAATTTTGAAACTCTCTGATTTACAAGTAAGCATTCCTTTGGAAAAGCAGTCCTATTCTGTTTTCAAGATATTTTAAAGCCTCAATTTCATACAATGCGCAGATCTATTCGAAATTGCAAGAACTCTCAAGAAAAATGCAGCAGCAAAGAAGATTCCATAGTTTCTAGCATCAAAAATTTACAACCTTAATACAACAGTTAAAGAGAAGCTCGAAAAGAAAATATTTAACCATAAAGCTGGAAACCATTCGATATCTACTATTGGATCTAATAAAAAGTTAATTATAACATATTTAACATGCTATTTGTTGACTTTGTTCCATTATATTACCATATATATCTTTTTGAAATCTAAAATATTTTTACAATTTTAACCATGTGTTGTTGAAACCATATATCAATCTTAGCTAAAGTATAGTTTATGAGTCTGTCACCATCTAACGTATGAATTTTCAAAAATGTCAAATATGTTCATTTTTTCTGTAGATTCAGCCATAATTTCACGTTGTTATACTATTCAACTATTATTTAATATTTTTATCGATTTAAATATATGATGAGATGCTTAGTTCTCCTGGAAATCGATTTTTAATCGCAATTTTAACTTTCCAAAAAAAATTCAAAAATAAAAATCCCTCTCAATTTTCTAAGTTTTATAACTCGCCAAATCTCTAGCCAAATTTTTTTGGCCCGTATAAATATTGTTTGGCACTATATAGGGATGCTATTTATCATATTTTCATCCCATTTTACTGTTATCGCCTAGTGAATGTACCTTTGTTAGAAAAAATATACAACTAAAATGTCAGTTTTAAAAAATTTAAAAATTATATTAAAACAATAGTCATTGAGGATGGTTAATTGCAAAAACTCAAGAAACTATCATTATCTCTCTTTGCTTAACACATCTACAACTGGAAACATCATTCCAAATGAAGTTCCTCAGTCTCGTCAAAATTTCTCTCTCATCTACAACAAGCTTAACTCAAAACTCAAGAAACTATCATTATCTCTCTTTGCTTAACACATCTACAACTGGAAACATCATTCCAAATGTTGCATTCAAGAATCCTATTATTATTCTTTCTTTCAATCTTTTATATTTACTCTTTAAATTCTAATATAATATAAATTCTTCATTTCCTTTGTTTAAACTTTTTTCATTTTAATACCATTTTATCAGATAGTAATTTTTGTTTTTCTCTGACCAAAAATCTTCTCAATTTAACTCCACCTTCACAAAAATTCATTGAGTTCTCTCAAAATTCTTGTATTTTTGGTATACTTAAAGTATCATCTTCAAATATTTTTTGGAGAAAATTGACTTTGCATAATATCGTAATACTTTTTAAGGCAGATAGATTTACCGTAAGTTGAAGAACTTTTAATTTGAACAGAAATTATTCAACAAATATTCTTTTTATTTGATCAAGATACGTATACCAATATGATCTACTTGCTAGGGATATGTAGATCACGTTCAGAATTTGCCAAGTTTGGTGAATATCTATGGGATTAGGGACATCTATTTAATTTAAGAACTAAAAATTAGCATAGGCGTATTATGCTGTTACTGAAATATATTTTGGATGTATAAATTTTTACTTAATACTCTTTTATTGTTATCATTTTTAAAGATTTTTTATTATGAGCAAAAAAATGGCAAGACAATAATATATTGTACATGCAATTTATTATTACTGAATAAATTTATCAATCAAATTTGATCACATACAATTTTTACAGATAAATACATTATCTCAAAAAATATCTATATATTAGTATATGTTACACGAAATGTAATAAAATGTATTACTTTGGTTTATCAATTTATAAATAAGAATGAAAATTTGTTATAGCTTTGTTCCAATATTTATTTTTATATATTTAAGTTATCCATTTTACTGTTTTCATTCATATTTATAACAAAATTAGAGTCCTTACATTATTTATCTTATTTCAATAGTGATAAAAATCAACTATATTTTGTAAGATCTTAAAAAGTGACAAAAATGGAAAACTACATTAAATTTATTTATAAGGATACAAAATTATATGTCATTCCACCAAGAGCGGTTAAAGCATTAACACTTTATTTATATATATCTCACAAGCTAAGTTTACCTCTAAAACATTCGAATTAACAACAAATAACAAAAATTTAGGTGTTCTGGATAATTTGCGCTGTAATAACAAAATTACTATCAATATTAAAAGAAAAAAGAAGCCTTTTAACTTATTTTCAATTCCGATTGTAAACAGTATAAAAACTTCTGAAGATCAAGACAAAAAGATTAATCAAATATCACAAAATGACGAAAATTTATTGTGGGCAGCCAAGTTTGCGTTGTATATGAGCAATAACATAATAGAAGAAGCAATTAAAATCATGAATTTCAATTGTCTTCAGGAAGTATTCAATCCTGTTGATGAAATTAAAAAAATGTTAGAAGGAGAGTATAAAGTAACAATTTCAGATGGAAATAAAAATAAATTATATGAGACAATTTTACCAAATGAAGAAGCTGAAGATTCTTATAGTGAGAATGATAGTGATATCGATTATGATGAAGAAAGTAAACAAAAGGATAAAAATGATTTTTCTATAGAAACTCATGATAAAGATAACAATATAAGAAAGAATTGGCCATTTCAAGATGAAGACAACAAAAACTCGGATTCTCTATTAAACAGATATTTAAGTTCCGAAGAATTCAATGAATTCAAAAAGGAGGAGAATGAACAAATTTTATTAGATGAACAAACTGCAACAATAAATGCAGTTTCATTTCCAAACACAAATCAAAGACAAACTGCAACAATAAGTGGAGTTACTCCTCCAAACACAAATCAAAGACAAAATGAAACAATAAGTGGAGTTACTCCTCCAAACACAAATCAAAGACAAAATGAAACAATAAGTGGAGTTACTCCTCCAAACACAAATCAAAGACAAAATGCAACAATAAATTCGGATATTCAGCGTCAAATCCCTCAGCATCAATCCTCACTACCTAATGAAACTGCTTCTTATTCTTCCCAAATTTCTAATCATTTAACCGATAATCCTCCATTAACAGATTTACAAAATACACATCTAGTGCCAAATTTTGCTTATGATTACCAAAATAATTTTTCAACGCATAAACAATCTATTATCGTTAATAAAGCTTGCATTGAACTTATTCCTAATTATCAATCTTTTGATGATAAAAATAAAGAGATTCACCGAAAAAGAATCAAAAATATTCTGAGGACTTATCATACATTTTCAATTTCCCAATCCGCACGTATTAAATATTCATTAACCATATATACAAATGGTCATCCTTTGAGATTTCAACGTTACAATGCTCATAATAATTATTTAGAAATTATTTATTATTGCGGATATAAACCTAGATGCAACTTTTGTATGCATGTAAAAGTCTTTGATGAGAAATTAAATATTTCTCCTGAAGAAAAACCAGACAGTAAACTTCATAACTGCCGACCTGCAAAACAATCTCAAATAATTAAAGGAACAAATCCAATGAACTATGATATTGAATCTCAAGTTCAAGATTATGTTGTCAAAAATCCAACCGCAACGATATCAGAAACAAGAAAGTATGCAAATCAACTGATATATGACTGTAATCAAGCCCAGTCTACTAATTTCATTCAGATATCAGAGAAGAAAGTCCAACAGCTGTATTATGAAGTTCATCCTGTCAAATCAAAATCAGAGATTGATCTTATTAATGAAATGTTAGAATTTTTTAATCAAAGATCATATTTTATTACCCAAAGCACAAAAAATGATAATGCCTATTATTTTTTTGGATTGGAACGTTTCATTCGAGTTGCACGGTATTCATCACATTGTTTTATTGATGGAACCTTCAAAGTCGTTCCTGTATCAATAATGAATGGCCAATTATTAAATTTGTTAATTTTTGACCAAGCAACTCAACTGTATCTACCGTTTTTACATATAATCATGACGGGAAGAACAGAAACTGATTATCAAAGAGTATTTAGTATTATGGAGTATGATACTGATATTAAAATTCCTTTATCAACATTTGATGTTATAACAACTGATTTCGAAAAAGCACTTCAAGGCTCAATTTATAAAAGAAAAGGAGAGCAAACCATATTGACTGGATGCATATATCACTTTATTGCAGCATTAGTTAAGAATTTCAAGAAAAAATGTGATCCAGAAGATCTTAACAATAAAATTCTTTTAAAGTTATTATGCGCTTCTCCATTCATGCCAGAAGAAGTTTTTGATTTGGTTTGTAATAAAATTAAATGCATTCAAGATACAAATGAATTTGCAAAATACTTTATTAAAACATGGAGCACAAGCTATAATTCAATCAGCAAGCTCAAAGTATTCGACAATATTTATTCTAATAATGGCGTAGAATCGTACAACAAAGTGTTAAATACAAATATTGTATATTCACATCCCACAATTTTAAAGACGGTACACACTTTAATGAAAGTGGATTTAGCGATTTTGCATCGATATGCACGGGCAGATAAAAACACAAGTGATCATAAACAGTCGTATTTCATTAAATTGAAAAAATAAATGAAGAGATTCAGTTATTTGAAGAGCATTTTGGTCTGGAAATATCATTAATTCCTGAGGATATAATGAAAAAATATAAGGATTTGTCCAAACATTCTGGAATTGATTTCAGAGATATTGAAATTGAAAGGTATATGTCAAGTGATCAAATACTTGATGACATTCAAATAAATTTAGAAGAAACAAAAAATGAAAAGATAGAAAACATTGAAATTGCCGAAGATGATTTATTTCAATAATATGTAACATTGATTTCTATTCAACTTTATCGTTATTATAATAAACATTTTTATGATTTTTTTAATATTTTTTATAAGTAGATTGAAGATTATTTGATGGAAAGATGTATATATATACATAATTTACCTTACAATATCTTCATGCTATGAATTCCAGAATAATGACAAGTCTTTCATTCTTAATTAGAAGTCTCCAATATTTTGTCTATTTTTTCATATTTTTTCTATTTTTTTTCACCATTTAAAATTTCTTAAATTCTAAATATAGCAAATTATATCATTTTACTTTCTGCAACGATTTAATCGATAATTATATGAATATTATTGTAAATATTTCTAAAATATTTTAAATACAAATAATTTTAAACTGAACCAAATAAATTGGATAACTTTAACTCAATCAAATAAATATTAATATGAATTTTTATAGAAAAGCTTTATTTTTTTCTCAATTTTTAATTTCATTTCAGTCTCTAAACTTTCTTACTATGTAAAAACGTATTATTATAGTAATAAAATAAAATACATGTTTATTCGATCTCGTATTTCAAAAAAATAAAATTACTTATATAAAAAGATTCTCTTTAGTCAACTTTCTTTTTGAATCTCTAATAAGTTTTTACTGTTGCTTCTATATATTAAGTATTGATTCTTGTAGTAAAGAAAATCCAGAACGTTTATTTATTAGAATACTCGAACTTTGACTTACATATTACTAATTGTAATTATTTTCAAGAGCTATTTCTATTACTCCTACTTGTTCGGCTTAAAATCTGCTATATTGTTAAGATAAACTAAGTTTAAATTTTGAACCATTTTTTGAAGTTTAAAGTGTAATACATATCGATTTTTTATCCGAATTTAAGAATTGCTTCAAAGTTTTAGCGTGAAATCGTGCATTTTTTCTAATGAAATTGTTATTATAAGATAAGCAATCTGAGTTTTTTTGAATAATATGTCACTACACATGATAGAGCGTTACGTGCTGAAAAGTTACGCTTCGTTCTGAAAGTGGTAATGAAGTTTTATTAGAATTCATCAAAAAAACGTATGAAAATAATTGTATGTCAAAATGTGAGCACTTCTCAAAATTTGCTCACATTTTGACTATTTTTGTGAGATCTTCCTCACAATTTTTTGACAAACGTACAAAAAAGTGCCAAAATGTGAGCAAATGTGAGCAATTTTTATATCTCCTATTGACCACATGAGAGAAGTCATTCGTGTTAGAGACTTTCCTCAAAGTAAAGTACAAGAAATTTCTGACGCAACAGGTATAGCATTTAATGTTACCATTGGTTACTTCAATGACTCAAGACATAATGAAATAAAGAGATACATACCAAAAGAATGCGAAACTGTTAGAACTCTTGACTTACTTCTTGTTGAAGACCATTACATGCTAAATGAAAGATTACCAATGACAACATATTTTATCATAAATTATAAAGAAATTCTCAAAGCTTGTGGTGGAATGAACATTGAGAAACAGATGAAGATTTATACAAAGAGAGAGAACAAATATGTAGTTCGTTATGATAGAACAACACCGTTATGGGATGTTATGAAAACATTGTGGGAGTGCAAATATTTCGAACCTATTTCTTATGGAGAACTTTTCACATATACGACTGACTTATATAAACAGAACCTTGCACCATTTAACGATTTGACATATGCTCCAAAGTATTGTGTACAACTGAAGATGAAAGCTGAGCCAAAAGAAGTAAATAAAAATAAGTGCAAGTTCATTCCTGAGCACGTTTTCTTTGCTGACTTTGAATGTAGCACTGATGGAGTTCATAAAGCCTTTAACATTTGTTATGACGGTGAAGATGGTTCAGTGAGTGAAAGCATTTGGGGTCAGAACTGTGCAACAGAATTTTTGGAACGACTTCCTGACAAGAGTTTAATATATTTCCATAACCTCAGTTATGATATAAACTTCATCTTAAGACACATGACAGAAGTGAAAGGAACTCCCATCATTAAAGGTTCACGAACAATGCAAATAACTGGCTTATATAAAGGAAGGGCAATTATTATAAAAGACTCTTACAGTGTTATAAATAAGAAGCTTAAACTATTTCCTGAAATGTTTCATTTGCAGTGTGGTGAAAAGGAAGTATTTCCATACAACTGCTACAGCAGTGTTTTGTTAGCAAATGACAACAGAACTGGTGTCATATCTGAAGCGTGTAAGTTTGTAAAAGATATTGAAACGTTCATGAAAAACATAGATTCCATCAAAGGTTGCAGAATAGATGAAAACCATTTCGATTTAGAAAAATATAGCTCATTTTATTGCAAACAGGACGTAAGGATTTTAAGAGAAGGTTTTGTTAAGTTCCGCAATGATATATTAAAAGAATTTGATTTAAACGTTTATGATTACGTTAGCATTTGTTCAATCGCTAACAAATTGTTTGAGAACAGAGTGTACTTCCCGAATGGAAATCTTTATGACCTCTCAAATAAACCAAGAGAATTTATTTCACGCTGTATTCAAGGTGGAAGATGTATGCTGTCAGATAACATTAAACAAAAGAGCGAAAAGAAACTCATTGCTGATTTCGACGCTGTTTCATTATATCCATCAGCTATAGCAAGACTTTATACTTTAGAAGGTATTCCAAAGGTTATGAAGAAAGAAATGTTAAGCACAGAGTATCTCATGAGACATTTATTCAATGACGACCAAAAGGAACCCATTGGTGAAAAGTTTATGTCTGGCTTCTTTGTTCTCATTAAGATAACAGAGATTGGAATACATAAACACTTTCCTTTAATAGTTTGTGACCCTGAACTAAATCCAGAACTTAACGTTCCCAGAAGTTCAAACACTTGCTGTTTAATGTATGTTGACCATATAACATTACAAGACCTCATAAAATATCAAGGTGTCAAATGTGAAGTGTTGCAAGGATACTATTACGATGGAAACAGAGATATTAGAATAAGAGATGAAGTAAAGAAGTTGTTTGAGTTAAGGTTAAAGTATAAGAAAGAAGGAAATCCTTTGCAAGAAAATATAAAGCTCATTCTGAACAGTATTTATGGCAAAACTATTCTATCTCCTATTGAGTCAAAAATAACCATAGTAAATGACAAAGATGCTATAAGATATGCCATCAGAAACTACAACCATATAGTGAAGTTCGAAGGTTTGGATGGTTCAGATAAAACTATTTTCAAGCTAACGAAAAGTATTTGCAGACACTTTAACTTCTGTCCACTTGGTGTTAACATTCTGTCAATGTCGAAGAGAATAATGAATGAAGTATTCTGTACTGCTGAAGATATGGGACTTCAAATATTTTACCAGGACTGTGATAGCATGCATATTTTCAATGAAGACATACCAAAGCTTGCAGCAGAGTTTAAGAAGAGATACGGTCGCGAACTTATAGGAAAGAACCTTGGTCAATTTCATTCTGACTTCGCAGAAATAACACCTGGAAAACAAAGTTTAGCATACAAGTCAATATTTTGTGGAAAGAAGACCTACATAGACTTACTCACTAACGATTTAAATGAAGTTGCATTCCATGCACGTTGCAAAGGTGTCAAACAAGACGTCCTTGCTTTAACAGCAAATGAAATGTTTCCTGAAGCTATACAATGCTATTACAATGAAGATAAGAACATTCACATACCTGTTGGAACATATGACAAAGACTCTGAGTTCAGTTTAATGAAACTTTACAAAGCACTTCATGATGGTCAAGAGATTGGATTTGACTTATGCAAGTCATGTCAACCTTGCTTTGCTGAAAAGTTTAACTTCTCAATAACGACTAAAACAAGCTTTATTCGTAAGTTGAAGTTCTGAGGTCATTTATTTTTGTCAGCAATGAGGTCATGAATGAGGTCATGAATGAGGTCATTTATTTTTGTCAGCAATGAGGTCATGAATGAGGTCATTTATTTTTGTCAGCAATGAGGTCATGAATGAGGTCATGAATGAGGTCATTCGTGATAAAAATAAAGCTAGCGTAGATTTTACAATACTGCGATGGTAGAGTTTAAGAGTTGTGCTTCAATGTAGAGACAGTCCTTATGGTCTGGAGGTAAGAACACTGGTGCTTTATGGTCATGAGTGGAGAACATGTCTATCCAAAACTCACGATTGAAGCCAGTTAATTTATAGTATTTAGGGTTAGGAAGTGGTGAAGTTCTTGTATGACCAATGAACTCATTTTCAACTCCCTTACTTAGGTTTGAATATAATATTGCTTGCTTTCTATCCCAAATGCCTGGAAATTTAATCTTTGAAAATTCATTTTTCCTCGGAAGCATTGCATCATAATTGAAAACATTCTTGAAGTCTTCACTTGGTTCAGAGATTTGAAATCTTATACGTAATGGATTTTTTTTCTCTTTAGCGACTTCATTGAATGGTGAGAATACAATGAATTGACAGTCATGAGTTCCATCTTCATTTTCATTAAATTCATAATGAAAGTCTATAAGTTGTGGCTGACTACCTTCTTCTTTCAGTTGTGCAAGATACTCACGTAAAGGCTGTAAAGTTTGTACTTCAATGTTGAACTTTTTCTCGAACATCTCATTAAATGAAATCATACATTGTTGCAATGTTGTATCGTCTTTAAAGTATTTGTATATGTGAATGTTTTGGGCGCTTAAAGACTGTTCGTCATTTTCTATCTCGACTTGAAGTATAAAGTCAACCTTTCTGTAAGCACGTGTTATATACATAGATGTTATGCCAATGTACTTCTCTTCATTTATGTTCACAATCCAGTCTGTTGGAAACTTAAACGTTACTCTGTTCCCCTTTATTTTGACGTCAGGGTTTTCACTACTGAACGCAACAGATAAAGGTATTTGTCTATACATTTAATTCGGATAAAAATAAACCATTTACTCTTTCTTTGCTTCAGCTTCTTTAGCTTTTGCTTCAGCTTCTTCTCTAGCTTTCTTCGCCAGCAAACGTGGGTTCTTTTGTCTTCCAGCAGCTAATGCAGCAAGTTGTTTTTCACTAAGTTTTCTCTTTGGTCTTTCTGGCTTTTGTTCCTTCAGTTCGGATAAAATTTGCTCGCGAATTTCTTTCTTCAATGCTTCAACATCTATGACCCCTTGGGTCTTGTCCGTAGGGCTTGTTTGAGTCATTTGACTGCAGATAAAAAACAAAATTAAAACTTTAACCGATGTAAAATGAGCTTGTCAAAATCAGAGCGAGAGTCTATTATATTAAATGACGCAAGAGGAATACAACATCCTTTCTATTACGTAAGTCAGAGTAAAGATGGTAAAATATACGTAAGAAAAAGAAAGGTTCCATTAACGAATGCAGAAAGCGACAGTATTAATGTGCATGACGGGGGTGAAGAAAAGAAGCCAGATGTACTTTCAATAACGAATCAAGAGCTTATTGCAAAGTTCGTGAATTTCATTGAAAAACAAACCGAGTCAAAGAACCCTGACCCGCCAGTGAAAGAAGTTGAGACAAAAGAGAATGTACAGTTCATTGAAAATGTCAAGAAACAACTTCCACCACGAATGCCAAGAAGAAGAGTGAGAATAATGAAGTAAATAGATATTTTTATCCGAATCAAAGACATGCAGAACGAACAGCTAAACGAATTTACTCCAGCAGAGCATATTCATCAGATTCGCTCATATTTCGATATCATAGACAATGCAGTTCAAATTGGTGACACTAATAGAAAATATTCTGACGCAAAGATTCCATCACAACCTGGAACTCTAAAGATAACACATGGGTAACATTCAATCTCTCACCTCCTGGTGAAAATATGTTGGACCTTTATAATACATTCATTACGTATAAAATGGAAGGTCAATTTATTGTAGATAAAGAAATTGGTTCAGGTTCCAATAAAACAAACCCACCAGGATTTTGGATTGGTTTCGATGACGCTTTCTATGCAGTTGCTGGATATCAAATCCTTGCAAATGGTCGTATCGTATATTCTCAAGACAACGCAAGAGAAGAAGCATATATAACTTCAAACTCACAAACTACCGAACAAATAAAGAAAGTAGATGTTTTCTCAAAGACTCGACATGAAGATGTATGGAATCATTCGGGAACATGCAGAACAGGACAAATTGTTAGTGGTCCAATTACAGCAGGAAAATCATTTGATTTTAAGCTTCGTTTAAGAATTCCTGTTAGAAGATTCCTTCCATTAGAAGCTATTCGATTTATTCCAGCTTTTGCAGGAAACATTCAGCTTAAAGTAAAGTTCAGTAGCGACGCATTACAATGCACATCTATATCTGTAAATGATATCATTGCTTTCAATCCAACTCTTAAAGTTGCATTTGCTTCAGATTCAAATCCACCGACAAATAAATTTGTTCCATGGAATGAACCATTCACTATGATAACGAAGGCAGTAGAAGCTAGTGGAACAGTTACTATTACAACTGTAACCCAGCAACTATTTCGAACAAAGATGGATTTTAATGAATGTTTCATTCATCCAAAGTCATTCTCTTTAGACCCTAACATTTATACAGAACTTGTAGAACATTATACAAACGAGGCTTTATGTTTTCCTGTTAAAGTTATGGATTGGATTCCTATGGACGGTTCATTCTCAAAGAATACAGATAGTTCAAGTGCAACATTTACAGCAGCTTATACGCCTATTAATGTTAAAAGTATTTGGGCACTATTTAGAAAGAAAGACAACTATTATGTTAATTTTGAGAACCCTAAGTTTAAATATCTTCAGCTTTCCATGGGAGCTTATGGAAATATGCCTGCAGAACCTGAAAAATCATATGGACCTGTATTTTATGAAATGGTTGCGAACGCCTGCAATACAAACAATGATATGATAGGATTTAATGAAGATGTTATGAGGTCATTGGTGGATGATGGTAGTGTGGAACATAAATGGGATAGCTATGACAACACACATTTCTTATGTGGTTTTCCAACAGAAGTGGACTTTTGCTTCCAGCAAGGTCAAACATCTACTGCTCCAATAACATACAAATTGTCTGTTAAAGGACCTATTGAACTAGCAACTGAAAATGTACCAAAGCCACTTATTGGATTTATGAGGGATTGTTGCTTTGCCATTCAGGTGCGTGCTAATAGCATCCCCATAATAAGATTAGATGACTATAACTTAGCTACGGACGACAGTGAGGAATAAAGGATGAACGTTTATTTTTAAAGCTTATAAATGAGTTCTTCATCAAGCTCTCGTGAACCTTCACCATCTATGAAACAAACTTTACCAAACGATTATGGAGCACCTATTGAATATTTCTTACGAGCTGCACAATGGCAAAGAGCAGTCTCACCAAGGTTAGGTGTTCCACCAGCTCCTGTCAAAAATAGCATTTGGTCAAGTCCTTATAAAGATATGGTCTCCCACTAGGTTTGCTAGCTACAGCAGGAGCAGTTATGATGTTGAAAAGAAATAAAGCAAATGTTGTAAATAATACTGAAGTAGCTGAAGTTAAACAAACTCCAACACCTTCGCCAAAACCAACGCCTTCACAAGCAAAACCTTCAATGACTCCTGAACCTATGGAAGTACAAACTCCTGTTCAAAAGTCAACTCCTAAACCGACTCCAACATTTAAACCAGAACCTACTCCTCAAATAAATCGTAAAACTCCTGCGTTTCCTTACTGAAAAAATAACGTTATTTTTATTTAATATTAAAATTTTTATTTGATTGAAATGACAAATAAAGTCACTGAAGCAATGAAACAAAAGTTTTTGGTAGAATACATTAAATCAGGAACTATTCCAGAAGGTTTTTACATTCATACTATGAAGGATGGTAGAGTTCAGTTTAGAAAGATAAAGCAACCATTAGATAGAGAAGGTATATTAAGGAAGATTAAACTTCATGAGGACAACATTGCTGAACTTAAGAAGAAGTTAGAAGAGTTGGAGAAAGGAAGAGAGTTATAAAGCATTGAATTCAACAGGGTGAAAAAACAGGTGAAATCTCACCTCTTCACCTAAATTTATTTTTGCGCTATGTTTTCATACGTGTGAGGGTGGTGATATCATTAATTTTTAAGTTTATTTTTTATTTTATTTTTTATTTTATTTTTATATAAATGACGAAAACTATTGAGATAACAAACTACAACGGTCATGAGTTCAAGAATTTGTTCTTCGTTCCTCGTGAAAATACATTCTATCAGATACGAGGGAGAAAGGGTAAAGTTAGTTTGAGCGTTTATGAAGGAATGAAGAATGGAAAGTTTATACAAGCATACGATACAAACGGTAAACGTGTTTCATTAGCTTTGTCAAAACTTACTAACATTTATTTTGACAGTGACTTTGACTCTGACGATTGGAGCGACAGCAGCGATACTGAAGAATATAAAGTATTGTGTGAAGCACAGCAATGGGAGGAGTTGCAATACTTTTGTAAGTGAGAACGTTTATTTTTTACAGTAGTGAAGTCGTTTGTGAAAACGTTAGTGAGATGAAGTGGTTGGCGGCTTTATAAATATTTAAGGTTAAGTTGGTGTTGTCGTTTGTGTTGTAAAATATACGTTAACAGTTTTGTAAAGTGTCAAATTCACATATAATGGGTAAGGAGGCGCGCAGTGCCTCAGTACACTTGTTATGTATATTAATTGTCCTTCCTCCAATAAAAAGTGGTACATTATTTGTTGATCGTTCTGTGAAAATTCGAAATTTAAGATACAATAGCAAATTATCTGAACGAAAAATTTTTTCTTGCTAGAATTGTAATCATTATAATTATCAATAATATTTGAAAAAAGACCGCTATAAAAGATAAAATCTTGATCGAAATGCGTAAAAACAATGAAAAGTATCTGATTGAAGAATTCTGGAACGCTTTGGTCTAGACACCACCATATGTAACGGTTAAGAGAGAACTGTTGATCTTGCATTATAAAGTCTACTAGTGAAATTTCGTTATTCATTAATGAATACAATAATGTACCTATTTTCTTTTGTTTATTATGTGTTGATTTGTTTTGCCATTGAAAATAACATAGATATGTATCATCGGATTCTAATGCTAAAATTTTAAAGTCGTAATAAATAACAATCCGGGTAAAAACAAGGATATTTTCGTCAAATGCATCTATTTTGTCAACAGGAAATGGTATCTTGGAGACACAATCACCAATATCAATATTTTCAACATCTTGTTTATAAGATTTGATATTCATTAAAATTTGATATAAAAAAGTAAATTCATTGCTCAGAAAATTGAGAAAATTGAGAGTAACCGCCAAATAAGATTTTTTAAAATAAAGAACTAAGGGTACAGTAAGGTCAGGTATGAGGGGCTTCCAGGGGCTGCGCCCCTTCTAGCCCTAAGAAATTTTGCCCAAGACCCAAGAGGAGGACCGAACCCCAGCCGGTGACACTTTTGTGTCGCTTTTCACAAATTATATATGTTTTCATGCTTTGTCACTTTTCTGTCACTTTTCAGGAAAAAACATTTTTATTATTATATATAAATGAATTTTACAAAACCACCGTTACCGTTCTTTGGAAATAAGAGTAAATGTAAAGATATTATATTGAGAGAACTTAAGAAACTACCGAATGGTCTAACATTTGTAGATTTGTTCGGTGGAAGTTTCTATATATCCCATTTGTGCCATACAATATTCCCAGACTCAAAGATTATATGCAATGACTTCGACAACTATATGGACCGTCTCAAACATATTCCAGACACTAACAAAATATTGAAAGAGTTAAAAGAAAAGATTCAGATAGGTAAGATGGAACGTATACCATTAGATAAGAAAAATATTGTGAGAGAGGTTTTGAAAAAAGCAGAATATATAGACTGGGATAGTATATCTGCTAGACTATTATATAGTGGTTCTATAAGAGTTCATGACATTGAAACACTTATGTCAAAAGTTTTATATCTTAACTATACAAATGTTTTCAAAGAGGACATAGAAAAATATATTGAGGGTATAGAGTTTGTGAGATGTCATTGGACAGAGTTGTATGAAAAATATAAAGACAAGGAAAATGTTTTCTTTATAGTGGACCCGCCGTTCTATAACACATGGGATTTTCAATACCAAGTAGACTGGACTTTGAGAGACTCTTTAGAAACTTTAGACGTTATACATAACCATCCATGCTTTTACTTTACATCCGATAAAAGTGGTTTGGAAACCGTTATGAGATGGTTAGAAGATATAAACGACTCTGAGTTTAGATATGACAAGATAGAATATGAGAGAGGTCCTATAAACCGGAGAAAGTGTCACAATAAAGAAATTTTATTAGTAAGTAAATGTGGTTTGAAATAGGACTACTTGTTTTAGGTTTTTTCCATTGTGTCATTTATTTATTTGACGTGGCAGAAAGATATAGAGAATATGAAGATGAACCAATGCCTGCAAATGTTCAGTATATGTACTCGTAAGAGATATTTTTATCTAATATTAAATGGACGCACAGAACTTAGCGAATGCACAGCAACCTGGACAACCAAACCCAGAGAATATTCCAAATGAAGTTAGAATACAAACTGCAATGGCAAACTATGGTCAAGTGCCAACAGATGTACAAATGCAAACTGCCATGTCAAATGACGCTGCGTTAGGTTTGCCACCATGGTATGCAAATATGAGATGGAAAGAGTTTTATACAAACCCTGAAGTGGGATATAAACAACTTTATGCAGATGACGCGAACACAGGAGTTGACCCAGAATATGTTTTCTACCAGAGGAGAAACAGAATGTATGAGCTCCAGTTAAAGAATGCTATGGAACTCAACAGGAAACGTAAGAGACTAGGCGGACATTAGATTTTTACATATAGTAAAATGGGTTTCTTCAGTAAGATAGGAAACTTCTTTCGAAATGTTGGAAGAGGTATATGGAATGGAATAAAATCTGTCGGAAGAGGAATTTGGAACGGTGTCAAAAATATTGGTAAAAGAGTAGGTCAGTTCGTTGGTATTATACCTAAAGACCCTGAACCGGACGAACAAGCTCCTGTTATACAACAGCCTGAACCTGCACCACAGTCTAGTTGGCAACCACAACCGTATTAAAAAATTATATTTTTACCGTTCGATAGTAGTTGTATATGAAACTAAGTTCTAAGTAAAACGCATGGTATAATGGAATTATTCTTTTTCTTCCATCTGTAGTAAACCATACTTGAAAGTCTGAAATACTTCCACTTGGTGGTTCGTATAACTTTGTAGGTTTTTCGTAAAAGTCATTTGCCAAGCATAAGAAAGAGTTTTGGGCGCCAGAAAATGAAGCATGAACTATCACAGCATCTTGGTCGAAAACATCTTTAAATAAATATGGTTCATCTCTTGCATATCGACTGTAGATATAGGGTGTCCAAAGGTGTGTTTAGCACAAACCTGAATACTGCGAATAGAAATAAACAAGTTACATATATATAAAGTTTATTTAAATATAATCACCATTGGATTCAATCACGCGTTCGCAGCGATCGATCCAGGCTTGAAAGACACGCTTTAAATCATCATGAGAAAATTGCTCAAATTGCTCTCTTACAAAATTTTCAAGATCATCTGGACTCGCGAATTTGCGTCCTTCAGCTCTCTTTTTTAGCGTGCCGAATAAATAAAAGTCAGAGGGTGCAATATCAGGTGAATAAATTGGGTTTGGAACAACTTTGACATTGTTTTCCACCAAGTAATTCATTACCTTATGACTTTTGTGAACTCTTGAATTATCAAAATGAATTGCAAACTTTTGTTTTTGTTGTTTGGATTTCTCAAACTCATCAGAATTGATAATTTGAGTAAGAACATTGTCAATTAGATACTGAGCATTCATCATATTAGGTTTTTGAAGAATATCAATTGCGATGATGCCATTCACACCCCAAAAAACCGACAACATCATCATTGGTGTGTCAATTTTTTTCTTCGGGAATGTTTGCGGATCTTCATCCTTCGGGATCCACATGATTTTGGCTTCTGTTGCATATTGAAACCAAGACTCGTCCCCTGTTACTAAAAAGCGAAACTTCTTGGATTGATACGCACCCAATATAGAGAGGAGCTCTTTCGAAGATTGGACTCTAGATTTTTTTTGAACTGAATTAAGGTTGTGCGGAACCCAACGTGTATACGCTAGTTTGTAGTTCAAATAATTGTGCAGATAATAACTGACTGTTGTAC